TATTAGGTTTTTCATCGCCTCCTTCTGCGCTGCTTTCTTATCTTCTTCCTCCGTGCACAGAGCACTTGCTCTGTGAAATAGTGATGAGGCGATTCCTTCGTACACGTGCTTCGGATGGCTTGAACTATAGCTAAGTACCCCATCTGTGTCCATTGGTTTGCGATCCATTGTCGTTTTTAGCATTTCTTCCTTCCTATTTACCAGACAATCAAGGAAAGGAAGTATACCGCTCTGCGACTCAAGTTCCATGGTGAACTTTATCGCATCGTCAATGGAGTTCAAATAGTTTAAAAATTCCTCTTTTCTATCTTTTTTATAATCGCAAAAATGTCATCCACATAGCGCCACCATCCTTCTAGGGCACCACGGAAATTTGGTAATGCTTTCTTTTCAAACTCTTCCATGTACATATTGGCTAATACGGAGGATATTGGAGATCCCATGGCCAGTCCCTGTTCTTGAGTGTACATTCTAGACGGGAATGTGAAATAAGTCATGTCGAGACACAAAGCTATCCCCTCGACCAGTTGATCCACTGTCAACTTTGTTCTGTCTTCTAAGCTGCTGTCCCCTAACAAGCAGTTTTTCGCTAATCGTAACGCCTCCTCCTTAGGTACATTCGTGAACAAGGAGGTAACATCGAAGCTGAGCATCAATTCATCTTGTTCGATGCTCACCCCGCGCACCATTCCTGCAAAATTATAAGAGTTCTTTACAAATGTGTTCGTTCTCCCTGTTAGGGGTTGCAGCAAGCTCGCCAGATATCTCGCGAGTTCATGTGTGCGAGAGCCTATGCCATTCACTATAGGTCGCAAGGGGACATTGGGCTTGTAAATCTTTGGGAGACCGTAAATTCTAGGTGAAATAGCCGATTTCGGATAAATGCTGTTATACTTGCCCTTACCTAAACTGTCCTTCACGGTCCTTAGGTAACTAGCGACATCTGATTTCTTCTTATTCATTACCGATGTAATGGATTTCTGATCAACCTCTTTGTATGGTCCCACGTAGCTTTGTCATGATCGCTATAAAATGCCAATGTTAAGATAATTCACTTCGCCTGATGAAGCTTTTGTGTCAAAAGCGAAACGTTGTCTATTACCATAAATACATTAACCGGTCGTCTACCAAGTTTTCTGAAATGTATGAATACTTATGGCTCAGATGGAGTAGCTGAGAACCGTAAATAATGCAGGGGTGCTGTCGACTTCGTGCGATCGTACCACATTTCATAGGATAATCTATACTTCTATGTGACCGATGCAGAAATAACGTGCGCCGACCCGACTCAACTTTCTTCGTTCCTATTTTCCATTGCCTTTGACTGATCTGACTCCGGGATCTCACTCAGCTAGGTGCCGTATAGGCAAACAAATCACGCAGTGCCCATGGGTCTGATCTACACAGTAAAACTGGCCGCTCCGCGACATTGTGTATTCTATTTTTGACCAGTATGCTTGCTTTACATCCAACCACCATCATACGTGAGTGAGACTTTGAAGTGCCACCTGGATCCCGCAAACACATACCTTGATCACTTCGATGATGTCGGCACCAAAGGTAATTAACTACCAGTCTGTACAGACCAACCAATCACTTCGAGTAGTCGATGTGGGATTATGAGAAATGATGCATTGCCACTTTTTGCTTTGGGGGCGCGATTCTCATGCCAAGGCGTATGCTTGCAATTAAGAAAGGTCGCACTCAGAGCGATTCTGTTCGTTCCTGCTTTCCATATGCTTTAAAATCGTTTTGTTTTCTCTCATCTCCTGAGGTTTTACACACACGAGTCAGCTGCCTGTTGTTATGGGTACCGATTGAGTCGTATCGTCAACCGGTTGATAGGATCAGGTACTTTTATCACCTTTTGGTTTACATTATAACCGGCAGTTTTCGTTGCGTCATCTACTGTTGGCAGTGGTAACCAGGCGCTCCACTGGACGAAAATTGCCACCTTGTCGGATAATTTCGAGTATTTCTGAATGTCTATATTGCCATCTTTCTACAGCCAGCTGACTTCGTTCTAACTGTTTATCACTTGAAACAACTTGCTATGCATTTTGTTTTTCCCCTTCCACTTGTGGTGAGCAGCGTCTGTCTTACATGTACCCTCCTTGCCTCTCACTACCTTTTGATCACCGTCCCCTGTAATTGCACAACGCCGTAAACGGAATTCCTGTCCACTATTTTGCACTGCGCACAGAATTTATTTATCGCCAGGCGAAGTTTTAACAAAATGCTTCTGCCCTTTTTCGATCTCAGTATGTGACCTGTGAGCTAATACGCCTCCTCATGTGGCTGGCAAGTGATGAACCAGCCGGTTTGAAGATCAACCTATACTTAGCCCGATTGTTGGGTCACTTCTTCCTGTATCACATCCTCGCCTGGCGGGGCTACACTTCACTGATGCTCCGCATGACTGCCACATGTATTGGCATCCTACAACGATGGACTGAGGTGTGCTCCTTCGACGAGTTTTCTGTGCCAATTTCTTCACTTCCGCGTGCCTCACATTGAGTTCCGTGTACCTCTTGGTTCAACGTTGTTCCGGAACCAACACAATCGCTTCCTCATCCACCTTCCTTTTCGCCTACGTGTGCACTGCCACTCGCCTGACGATCGCTCTTTTTGGCTGCCTTTTGTTGGATCTCATCAATTTGACAGCATTACACTTGAATACTTTCTACATTTATGCAGTTCGGTGAGTTTTTTTGGGGATACCCTAATGCGTCACATTAGCCTGCTGATTTCTCTGCTGATATAATATGTTTATTACTTGGACGTGGGAGTGATTTCTTGTAACACGAACCGATCATTATGTACTGTTGTGATGTGCAGGATCTCCTTTGGTGGCCGAAAGGATTACTCGTCTAAGATCACCGGTTCGATTTCGCGTAAATGCGGTTGACATCACGGCGCACTCAGCCCTCGCGCGACGGTTGATGGTCGGTTGGGAACGAAGCATTGGTACGGTGTGCCGATGTACCGCAAATGGTCCTATATACATATATATATATATATATATATATATATATATATATATATATATATGAAACAGCCATGGGGCCAACTAAACCATGATTAGACCCAGTTAACATCGTTCTTTCTGTAATTCTCGAGTCCTTCTCCGCCAGTTTCAGTCAGCTTGATCCTGGTACCGCTGGTATCCGTGCTATACTTGCAGCCTTTCAGTGTACCATTCAACCCTCTGTAAAGTATCATTTTTATCTGTCGGTCGCCATAATAATCTGGGGTAAGTGCGCTTCCTATTGTGCGGTATGTGGTTTAGTTAACTTTATCAGCGTTATTCCTTTGCTGTATTCTTAAGCGACTGGCGAACTTTTGTTTTCACCGCCGAAGTCCGTTGCTTTTTGCCGCCGCGATTATCTAATTCTAAATTGCTCCCGGTGATTCATGCATTCCTGCTGCCCTTTGCCTTCCTTCCGATGGATTATCATCCAAATCAATGGGTTTAGTCAACGGCCATCCTATTCATTCTACTGAGGATCTGATCAAAGTGCACCAGACTAACGGCACCGGTGATTTATGGCTTACTTTACCTGTGACTACATCTTTGAATTTGCTTCTGGAGTTGCTGTGCTACTCTTAATTTAGTCCGGTGTCGGGATTGCATTTCGGTCTGCTTCACTCAGATCGGGTGCTTAGAATTCCAAAACTGAGTCATCATGTTCTTGATCCGAGCTTTGTACTTTCTCGGACTGCGCAGCACGGTGGGCTTGTCCATCCTTCTTGTGGCTTTCCATTCTTCCGCATGATCGTTACCTTCCGCGTCACTGCAGCGCTAATGAGCTCCCTATCCCAAATCGATTGTCACGCGTCTTTTTACTTTTCCTTCTTTCCCCAAAACAGTTTGCTCGCTTTTCAGACCCGAACTATCGTGGCCGCGTGGCGCTTATGTCGAAATGCTTCCAAGTGGAACCCACTACGCGGCCGAGTGGATACAGTGCTGGATATGTGTCCTGTGGAACGGGCTTCTATGACTCGTTCTACCGGCCGAACTTTATCTAATGCGCCAGCTACCATCTCATCTCAGCCGCCTGTACATACCTCCGAGGACACTCATCTGGATAGATTGTTTGTCGCCACTCTGCTTGGGTTTGCCGTTGGCCTGTGTCTTCTACCAACCACACTGGCATTTTACCTTGTCTTCACCGCGGTAAGCCTTGGCAACTGCTGTCTCAGTTACTTTTTCATCCTGAGGTTGTTGTACGAAGACTGGTGTCCGGTTCATTTCTCAATTGTTCCCAAATCCCCTTCGCGTGACATGATTCGCGGTGTATCTATTAGAATGAAATCCAGATCACAATGTTTACCACGAATTACTGTTTTTAAACTGAACTTCGTCCTTATTGGCTAAGTTATCCGACGATTGGGCACTGATCAATACCCCCACATTTGGCGTAAATTCATCCTTATCTATCATCAACACCAGCTTTCATCGCCATACCCATTGGTTTGACTGCCACGGTCAGTATACAAACTGTATGCAAAACAGTATGTAAACTGTGTGGATTAGTCTCTTACTCTTGCTTCCGGTGGAGTCATTGTTTAAATGGTTTGACACAGACTACCAGTCGCAGGCTTATCGCCTTTTCCTTCGGCGTTCATTCCATGTCAGTGGCTATCAGACCATCCGCTCAGCAAATATTGAGAATCTGAGATGTAGGATATCAGCTTGGTAGCGCAAATCAGAATCTTTCAGCTCAGTTTGTTTTGCGCTTGTCCCCTTTGTATTGATTTGACGGAGAAGAGGCTCCATTGATTCCGGCATCTACGGATGTATGCCAAAGTACTTCTGCAAAGACATCACGCCTTCCATGATATGCTTTTTGTGTATTTGGTCGGTCTTCAGTTAAATCCAAGTTAATGCAACCTTGTTATTTCTCTGTTTGCATTTCATTTTTTCTCTTACAGTTTCAAATGCCAAATCTCTTCAGTCTATATTTCCCGCATGTTCTATTGCGACCGATGCAGCCCATCGCTACAATACTTCTTGATGATACAGTACAGCGACTTGTATTCCCGTGTGCTCCACTGAGTAACTCCCATTATATGTTACGGAGTTCACATTGCTTCTCGAAACTTGCGCAGATCTTACCCAAACTCACCTAAGCCCCATACGGTCAGCATGCGATGAGTCAGACTGCGCAGGTAACGACCGAGCCATCTTCAGGACATTGCTATAGCTACCGGCTCAAGCCGCAGTGAACCATCTGAGCTCTCCTCGGGCACTGCGGTAGCTCCGTACCAAGCCACACAGATCTCAACGGAGCTTTCCTCAGGACGCAGCCACTACGTGGCAGCTCATTTCCTATTCAGAGATTCATCTTCCTCTATAGTTTATGTATTACCCGCAGTAGTATAAATATGTAGAGCTAGAGTACATGATTGATTTTTGGCTGAGTCAGTAGACAAACTCTTGCTATTGCCCAGTCTTTCTTTTCTGGGTCTCGGTGCAGTTGTGGGAGGCTACGCGTTTTATAACCGTTCTCGCCTCTTGTATTAAACCTCTAACGGCTAGGTCACCTGGGTCGTAGCTATCTGAAACCGATTGGCTACTCTGCGCTTGGGGTATTATCAGTGAAGAGCGTTTCGTCCGTTCTTAGTAGGGGTCGAAACAATTTGGACGTGTTATAACAGTGTATCTGTTGGATTCGGCGATCACTGGCTTAGCATCAACATGTTCCTCATATTATGGGGGGTAAACGTGGATATTCCCTTGCGTCCAAGACTAGCCATGGAGATAACAGGTCATGAAGTGTAAGTTCTGTTCGACTCACTTATACACTGATGCTACAAGTTATCTCTAACAATAGAAGAGTGCATCTGCTGCTCACTTGTTTTGCGTTACACGCGCCAAACCGAGTAACCTTTTGTCACTACAATAGTACCTCCGAAAGTTGACCACTCAAGGGACTGGACCAAAGTGGTCAACCTAGAGAAGTGGTCGGCATACGAAGGTTCTATGCCAAAACAGCGAAATTTATTTTCACATAAACCCGTTTCAAACACATTAGACGAGGTCTCACGTAACGTCAAACGCGGTTCAACCATACATTGTTATACTAAACCAGAACAGTGTGCATTTCACGAGTTAAATCATTTTTTAGGAAAAAGTCCAACTTTGTATGTTTGTTTCTCATCACAAAGTTAACTGAACAAGTGCTCTCAGCACAAGCTACACTACTCAGCATGCTTGGACATATTTCCACAGCAAATGATTTCAGTTGCATTAAAAGATGCCCATTATTAGTCTTTTTTGGGTTCCTGTGATTCCCATATCATCTTCACTTAGTTCTTCCTCGTCATCAGGTGCGTCTTGTTTGGCCCCGTATCCGTGTCCCGCAGTCAATATCTGAAAATAGCATCTAGGTCTAGTTCAGTGCAGATTACCAAGTCACTCTCCATTTCATAAACTCTTGCAAATCCATTCCTTCAAAATCTGTAATGGGAGATGGAATGTCTATTGAACCAACAGCGTCTTGCTCGAGGGTTTGAACAAATTCAGCTTTCTTGAAACACCTATATCCTTTCTGGTTGAATTTTGTGCTAAGCGGCAACTATCCAAAACACAACATCCATAGCATTAACAGAAGCAGTAGATGAAGTTCTTGCCGCATGCAGAGCATTGGGACTCATTTTTCCCCAAAACTCATTGCATGAGCTGGGCTGGGGAATGTGTTTTGAGTAATTTGATGGTTCCTTAATCCAGAGGTTGAATCTTTGAGATCATATTTGGAGGTGGAAATTTTAGTGTAATGTTTGTGAGATTATCGACATGGATAAGACTGGGACAATGATCTACTGTCAGTAGAATGAATCGTTTTTTATTCATCATTTCTTGGTCCATTCTTCTTATCCACTCGTCAACTCTATGACAGGAATCATCATCACCATCCATGCAAATTGCTTTGATCTCCACTTGACCGGGTTTTCTGGAAACAGATTTTTGAACACACATGATCTGGCTGTCTTACCAATGGCCAAAGGTTTTAGCCTCTCTCCACTTATGCTAGTACACAGCATAACTGTAAAACGTTCTTTGGAATGCTTTCCGCTCTTACATGTGTTACCTTTTATAACAAGGCTCTTGCGATGCATCGCTTTGTAAGACAGATCGCACTCGTCAGTGTTAACAACGTCACCATAGCTGAAACCCCTGCCGAAGTCGGGAAATTTTTCGATGAATTCCTGAACAAACTCTTCAGGAACTTCCTTGGATTCACCACACTAGACTCTTTGTTAAATGTTATATTGCAGCTTAAAATTGCTTGCAAATCTGCAATCCCTACTTCTTGTGAAAATTTCTTAACAATTTCTTGAATCATCGGCCCAGAGATTCGAGCGTTGACTGCTCTCATTTGTTTGAACCAGCGCAGCTTAGCTTCATTATCATGTGAAGTTTTCCGCCTCTTCCGCTGTAAATCTCTTTCATTACTGTACCTCTAAACGTATTCATGCTTATGCTGTTAGATGTTCCTTACTGTTGTCTTGCAAACATTAAGTTGCCTTGCCGTCTTTCCTTGACTGCTGCTTTTCTGAAAATATGGCAGGTTATTCTCCTTCAGCGTTAACTCTTTGCTGTCTTTGGACCATAATGCATCGATAGACGTGATAGCCGATCCCGAATCGTTCAAAACACGCAGTGAATCCATGATCTAGTGTGCTTTACAGAAAGTCAATTACCTATTACAGCAAATCTGAACTGTTTGCGCTCTCAGATAGCCAACAAATTGCGCGAACTAGCATTTAACGACCAATGAATGTAAGCGTCAATGTTACTACTACCCAAGATGCTAATGAACAGGTGTACAACGCGTTAGCTTACAACCGGTTAATCGATGAACATTCATTTCCGGCAAAGTCGTGTATGGCTCGAGAAATGAGCAGTACAACGATTTCCCCAGGTGGGACGAATACCCCGACATACTACTGTGGCCCTAAAACTCCTGTGCATTGCGCGGGCACCTGTCCCAAACTAGGCTTGATGCGTGCTTGTATGCGGAAAAATTTCACACAAATTTGGTCGAGGTCCATTTGTAGTCGCGGATCCGTGCGCACATGTTGTACGAGGTAAATACCGACGCGCGTACACGCTTTGGAGTATGTCAGAAGTACGTGCACACACACAAACAGCGAACATGCTGTATTGTTCCACGTCTGCGAGGCAGCCAAGTGCAGTTGTTGTGGTTCAGGTGAATTTCGTACATTGCAGAATCCTGCTACACACCCCTTGTTGCTTAAACAAACGATCGGCAACCAAGGTGGTTAAATTAGTAGTGATTGTTCTGGCCCAAGTGGTCAACATACAACTTACAGCGATGGTCAACCTACAGAGGTCTGGTTTCATAAGCTTTACATGGTAAAGGTTCGATCGATGAAACTTATAGTGGTGGTCAGCATAGGAGGCTCTGCTGTATGTTCAACCAGTCAAGACTCATTTACTGTTAGTTTTAATCCTACGCGTATCCTTGAACCTACTCGAAAAACTTAATGATTTTGAATCTTCCGTGACGGGCGTCTTACAGCTCTCTACGACGCTATGCAGTCATGATCCCATACTAGATCCACCTCCGTTGGTGATTATGCTTGAAGCGCCTCACGCGTGAATGGATTGCCATACGCAATCTCATTTGGGACTGCAGTTCCCTTTGAAGCAGAATTGGACGTGTTCGCTCACTGGGACTGCATTTGGAGCACACAAATGTTGGTTATTAGTGCCTTTGGAATCAGACTATTGCATCACTATACTTCGCTGCCCTTGAGCAAAACACCTCTGAGGAAGTCGCCGTTAAGTATCACACACGTCGATGGCATTTACTCCCCAGTTCTCTCTTTTCTCTCTTACATATTTCTTCCCCCTGCGTTATTCAGCAGGAAGCTAGCCCTGATTTCGAGGCTCATGTTGACTGTGCGCGTGCATCACCTTCCAACCGAACTCCCACTGTCCATCTTCTATCAAATCGGTCAACGGGGAAGACCGTGTTTCTTTCGTCTACCTTGAGATCTAGTGAGAGTGTTATGGGTTATGTGTACGCCACATAAACTTGTGTCTCTATTCCTATGGCTGGTTTTCACTACTGTCTCTGGTTACGCGTACTGTGTCGTCTGCTAGAGATCATAGGCCCACACTCGCTGCTTCTCGATCTAGTCCACATCCAGTCTGTCTGTAGTCATGGGTTTGCTTCATGCTAGACCGCACCGGTCCATCGCGACGAGTCTGGACCTCAACTTAGTGCGATGGTTTGTGTTCCTCAGTGGTCCATTGAGCTATGCTAGGTGGTACATTTTTGCCCCTTCAGAGCCACCCATACCAGATGGGTCATTGGTTACAGGCCAGACAAACTCAGTCTTCTA